ACCTTGGGTGTCTTCCCTTGGTACAGAATAGAAGGCGTACCATCTTTATTTCTGCCCTCTGCAAGCTGCTTAGGGAGTGTATTAGCTTTTGAGGGGAGCCCTTTACTCCTTTGAGTCCCCTTGTCTGTAAGTGGGTTATTATCTGAACAGCATGTAGCGAGAACAGACATCTTTCATGCTTCTCTTTATCCCACTTCCCCACCAGTATGTTCTTGGTTCACCTACTTCCTGCTCTCTGATCATTTCTCCCTGTCTCTTCCAAGAGTCTTTTTTGCCCAACCCTTAAGTGTTATAGGGACACAGGCCCATCCCTGGGTTTCTGCTGTCTTCTCTTTCTACCCATTCTCCTTGGATGACTTCAGCTGTGCTCTCGGCTTTAACCATGTATGTGCTGCCAAATCCTGATCGTAAGGACAGCTGAAGTCCCTTCCTTTATTTTCAGTGGTCTCTGCCACACGCCAGGATGTTCTTGAGTGCAGGTATCCCATGTTCAGAGTTTCGCTCCTCCCTGCTCTGCATCTGGTCCTCCTTGTTTGTTTGTTTCAACTGGTGGTGCCACCACCCACACCCTCACATGAGCTGGAAACCCAGCATGATCCTAGTTCCTTCCCTTTCACTCCCTCACTTCCGAGTGGGCGCTGGAGCGGATGTCTGTCCCTCTCCTCTGCTCTCCCTTCTCTCGCTGCTGCTGCCTCTGTTCAGTGCCTAACACATCCTGCCTCTGCTGCAGTGACCTCCTGCCCCATCCCTCTCCTTTCCAGTATGTTTCCTTCTCTGCAGCTGTAATGATTTTCTAAAATAAATTTGATCACGCCCTACACCTATGGTTTCCCGCTATGTAAAGTGTAGGAGTTTCAGGCCTTCGTAATAAGGTTCCTGCCGTGTCTATGAGTTGCCCAGAGTTGCTGTGACAAATTTTCACAGCAGAAGTTTATTCGCTCATCATTCTGGAGGTGTTGGTAGGTTTCTTCTGGGGGCTCAGAGGGAGAATCTGTTACGTGCCTGTCTCCCGGTTTCTGGTAGTTGTTGGCAATCTTTGATGTTCGTTGGTAGATGCGTCACTCAGTCTCTGCCTGTGTCTTCACATGGCCTTCTTGTAAGGACACAAGTCATTGGATTAGTGCCCACTCTAATTTAGCATGACCTCATCTTGTGCTCACTTCGACAGCACATATAGTGTGACCTCATCTGAACTAGTTACATCTGCAGAGACCCTATTTCTAAACAATTGCTCTATTCTGAGGTTCCAGGTAGAGGTGAATTTTGGAGGGACACTATTCAACCCACACACCCTTCCAGCCTCAGCTCTTTTGACTTCCTCACTTGCTGACTTGCTCATTCACTTTGCTGCTTTGGAGGGGCAAGAATTTCACCAGATGGACAAGAGAAAAGGGTTGCAGGCAGACGAAAGAGGATGCCCGAAGGGCCACAGAGGATGTGAAATGTGAGCTGAGTCTTAATGTAAGGTTTTATTTTATTTTATTGCTTCACTGCACTTTAAGACATAGACCAAGTGTTACCTCTTTTATGAAGCTTCTGTGACGTCCCCAGGGACTTTTCCATTGCCTCAGTACTTAGTCCTTACATATTTTGTGGCCATCACTTTTCTGTTTTGATTGTTTAATTACTGGCATGTTCTCCCCTGGCCTGTGTTATCTTGGGGCAGTACTCTGCACCTAGTCTGTGGGAGCCATGCGTCCAGCCCCTGCCTGGCATGGAGCAGGAGCCCAGGAGAGGTTTTCCCATCTGCATTAATCCCTAAGATGAGGTCACATGCATTTCAGGGGAGGAGCTGTTCAGTCCTATTTGGATGGTTCTTTGTGCTAGATGAGGTGGAGGGCATTTGACATGGAGAGAATTTGTAGGAGGCCATGCCTTCTAGGTTCCTTCCATCTGGCAGTCCTGTTGTTCTAATGACAACCCCTTCCAGAAACAGCACACATTTTTAAGGCAAATAGACTGAAAATTGTGGTTGCAACAACTGCTTGGTTCCACATTGCTCCGAGGAGTTTCCCTGTCGTTAGAAGAGCTGAATACTAATTTGGACATCATGCAGAATAGTGCAATCATGGTTTTAAGAGATGCTGAGCATCTCAGACTAAATGTGGAGTAGGTGGAGCTTTTGAGCAACGCTGTTCCCATCCACAGAAGCAGTCTCAAAGCACTGTAGCTCTTCCACATTGCTTATTTGGGCAAAAGAATTTTAAAGGCTATAATTTAATGCTTGTTTGGATTCCTTTTTCAATTGAATTGATTTTACTACCTTGTTACAGACTCACTGAAAGTCACCTTTTCATTTTTAATGGGGGGAAAAAGAGGTTTGACTGTGGAGAAAACCAAGAGATGGGATATTCAACTACATTCCTACAGAGGTGCTCAAGATGCACTTTAAGGCAAAAAGCAAATACCCAGTAGGTAATAACTTTAAACGTTTGTTTTTCTAATTACAATGAACTTTGCTGAACCATTCATTGGCACTAACTATTGCACTGCTTGGGAATGTTAGAAAATTGCAACAGACTGTAAACAGTCACTTTTTAATTCTGGGGAACAGTTTGAGGTAAAATGCCATTATTCAAGTTGCTTTGAAACAAAAGTGATTTATAAAAATATTTCATAAGCCCAAGTTAGACATTGTTGTCTCCCAGTGATTCCCAGAGAAAATGCCTGGCTCTCTTGGTCATGGAAGCGGCACAAACTCTGTGGCATGCGGTTAATGTTTTTATGCTAATGGACACCCTTGAGAGTGAGCACGGATTGAGCACGCGAACGTTGCTTCTCCCTACAGCCAGCTATGAACTATGCAGCCAGCATTCAGCTAATCATAGCCTGCTGTGTGTGTCATTGTGTAACAGCCCTTTGTAAATTGGGTTAATAATTTCGAGAAACCCCATCTAATGCCAGAGCCCCAAAGTAAAGTAGCCATCTTGGTGAGAGGCCTTTTTGAAGTTTCAGGGCCATTTGTACTGCCCTCTTCCCTCTGGGGCAGAGATTCCTAATGTGGGTTCATGATAGCATCAGGAAGTCTGCAAACTAGGATAGGGAAATACACGACAGCTCTAGTTTTCATTCACTTCTAACTAAAGTTTAACATGAAAAAAGATTATATACAGGCAATCATCCATAATGGTATTAGCCGTACCTGTGAGTTTGTCACCCATAGAAATCACAAATATTTTGGAATATGGTTAGTCTTCACTACTTCAAAGTTACAATAGCTATGAAATCATCTGTTAGAAGCTATTTAGTGTGTTATAAAGAAGCACATGTAAATTTGTTTTTTAGTATTTTGACTATATCAGTATGAACCATTTCCTTCGTGACACTATATGCCTTACTTATGCTTTTTTAAAATGTTATTTTTTATGAAAAACAAGGAAAGACTAAGGAACTTTTGCAAAACCAAGGAGACTAGGGTGACAGGACAGCTAAATGCAGTGGATACGCTGGATCGGATCTTGGGTCAGAAAGAGGACAATAATGGAAAAACTGTTGAAATCCAAATTAAAGTCTGGAGTTTATAGTAATGTGCTAACGTTGGTTTCTCAGTCTTGGTAAGCGTGTGGGAACATTCTCTATTGTCTCTGCAACTTCTCTGTACACTGGCAATTACAGGGAGGGCCATGGTGTGGGGTCCACGGGGGGTCTGCTGCCCACTCCCAGAGATGCTGGAAATGAGGAGTTTTGTGTCAACTTGAGGCCATTGTGGCCTCTTCCAATTGTGACTCTGAGGAACCGTGGAGATAGACCAATCCAAAGGTAAAGAGAAGTTTTCCAGAGAAATAAAGTAATTTGGAATGTATTATCATGGCTCTAAGGTCAGAGGTCAGAGGTCGTATTCTGCCTCTCCCCAGCTCTGTGATCTGGGGCCAGAAACTGCTCTGGGCCACCTCTTCTTCTTCCCCTTTGTGAAATGGAGCCACCCATACAGGACTTATGAGGGTCATCATGAGGACTAAAGGTAACCTGTGTGCCCACCTAGCTAGCTCTTTTGTTGGTTTACCTGGAGTGCTTTAGTGCCTCTTACATGCCAGGCCCCATGCTAAGCATTTTTGATAAATTATCTCCTTTAATCTTTATGACACTTGCATTACATGGCCATTTCATACATAGGGATCCTGAGGGTCAGAGGCTCGGTGACCTCACTGCCCAAAGGCCACAAAGCTAAATGCAGATCTGCGCTGACTGCAGTACGTGGTCATCCTAAGTCTTCTCTTGAAGCTAAGCCCTCCCTAGCCACCCAGTAGACCTGGTTACCAGGCTGCATCCAGATGCAGATGCTCTCACAAGTCTGTTGCCCATTGTGGCTGGCTTCTCTGGACCTCGCATTAGCTACCGGGTAAATGAGGGTGTTGGACTGTCTTCAGGGTCTGTTCCAGGACTAAAGGTTCATCCACATTCTGTGCCTTTAACTGCTTATTTCAGCTGTTTTATTGGGATGATTACTGAATCACTGAAGCCAAAATTTTTCTAATTTGTTCTGGGTGAAGTTATTTATTTATTTATTTTGGCATTTTCCCAGATTCCAGAAAGGAAGAGCAGAGATGTCTAAGCCTTAGGTACCTCTTAAAACCACAAAAATTAAACAACAACAACAAAAACCCAGCAAAAGCCATTGTGATATTTACCTGTTTTTTAATTGGGATTTTGTTCAGGGATTGATTACTCAAAAGGACATGGGAGTGATTTGATTTTTTCTTTGTAATTAGGAAGGAGATGCCGTGTATCACCATGTAGTTGCCAGTTACTTCCAATTAATGTCTAATGAAGAAGGGGAAAAAAAAAGGTAGTTACCAGTGTGAAGTATTACCTGGAGAGGCGAATTTAGCTGTAAGAAGTCATTATTAGATAATAAGCCCAAATTCCACAAGTGCTGTGGGCATGCACATTTGTCTCAAAATGAGAAAAATTGAGAGCAGCCCTGGGCGCTGTTAGGCTGTTGCAGTGTGTGTGTGTTTGGGCGGGGGGGCCTGTTAATGCCATGATTTCTCTCTTTTCAGTTTTTCCCCTACATCCTGTTACTGTTCGCGATCCTCCTGTACATGCCCCCTCTGTTCTGGCGTTTCGCAGCTGCCCCTCATCTCTGCTCAGACTTGAAGTTTATCATGGAAGAACTTGACAAAGTTTACAACCGTGCGATTAAGGCTGCAAAGAGCGCACAGGACCTTGACTTGAGAGATGGAGCCTGCCCAGTTCCGGGTGTTACTGAGAACACAGGGCAAAGGTAACTTAGCCCCAGCAGGTAGCGGAGCTCGCCTGGTTTTGTAGTTCTTTGTCCTTCTCCTGCCAGTCTGGGCCTAGAGTTCCCGTCACTAGTAGGTTGGGAGTGGGGAGGGCGTCATCCACCTAGTGACAGCCCATGGGAGCCAGGGACTCTCACTCTCCCCAGATCTCACCCCCACCCGTCTGTGCCAGCATCTGTCCTCTGTCCAGACTCCTTCCTTTGTTGAGGAAGGAGTCACCATCTCACCTCCTGAAATGTAGTTCTCACAGGGCTAGCAGGTTAAGCTACTACGTGAAGCTCACTTGCTTTGTTCTGCTTTCTCCTTAATGGAGAAGCACACAGGATTCCTAGACAGCTGAGCTGAGAGAAAGGCTGTGAGAGACGTGAGGAGTGAGTAGTGCCCTGCCTTCCCACATTCTGCCTCTGGTTCTTGTTACTGACAATAGGAATCACGTGAACAGCTCTCAAGCGTTGAATGCTTAATATATCCCAGACACTGTTTTGAGTGCTTTAAGTGCATTATCTCATTTAACCCCCAGAACAACATTATTAACTAAGTGCATTTATTTACCTTCTCTTCCCCTTTTTTCTGGATAAAAACACTGTCCTATAGCTGTAAATGGGAGCGTGAGACCTGAACTGTGTCTGTCCGGGCCCCCAGGCTGTGCCCGCCCCCACTGAGCTGTCCCCACTCCTTGCCTGTAGGAGGCAAATGTGTTATGGCTGGGCTAAAAAATTCTTTACCTTATTCTGCATACTTTAGTGAAAAACTGTAGTTTAACCAAAAAACGCAGTTCCTGTTCAGGAACTAATTAATTCATTTAACAAACGTTTAGCATTTACTAAGTGCCCGGTGTCATTTTAAGATGTTCTAAATACTAACTCATTTAATTAATTAATAATGTTAATATCTTTAAAATAGTAAGGGGAAAAGTATTTTTTTATTACTTTTCCTCCTCTTTTTTTTGTAACCTAATTTTATTCTCTAATACTCTAATGAAGTTATAGGTAGAGAAGTGTGGGAGTTTGAGATTTTTGGTGTCACATTGTTGGATGTATTTATGCCTTTAATATTTGATGGTCTTGGTGAGTGTCTAAATTATTTTTGTTTCCTTTCTTTTTAGTTTTTGGGAGATATCTGAAAGCCACTTCAAGTATCCAATTGTGGAGCAGTACTTGAAGACAAAGAAAAATTCTAATAACTTAATCGTCAAGTACATTAGCTGCCGGCTGCTGACTCTCATCATTGTACTGTTGGCATGTGTCTACCTGGGCTATTACTTCAGCCTCTCCTCGCTCTCGGACGAATTTGTCTGCAGCATCAAATCAGGGATCCTGAGAAACGACAGCACCATCCCCGATCAGTTTCAGTGCAAGCTCATCGCCGTCGGCATCTTCCAGTTGCTCAGCTTCATTAACCTCGTGGTTTATGTCCTGTTGGTTCCTGTGGTTGTCTACACGCTGTTCGTTCCATTCAGACAGAAGACAGACGTCCTCAAAGTATACGAAATCCTGCCCACTTTCGACGTTCTGCATTTCAAGTCTGAAGGGCACAACGACTTGAGCCTCTACCATCTTTTCTTGGAGGAGAACATAAGTGAGCTCAAGTCTTACAAGTGTCTTAAGATACTGGAGAATATTAAAAGCAGTGGTCAGGGGATCGACCCACTGCTCCTCCTGACTAACCTTGGCACGATCAAGATGGATATTGTGGACGGCAAAACTCCCATGTCTGCGGAGACAGCGGGAGAGGAGCAGGGGGACCAGATGACAGAGCTCAAAGGTAGGGTTAGCTCTATAGGGCAGAGGCTGTGGGAGCCCACGTTAGCACCTTTGCAGCAGCCTTTTAGGAATACTGACAGTCTTTACCCTGCCCACCATTTAAACTATTTTCCAAGCATGGTCTTAGGTGGAACCCTCAGTATGAGGAGAGATGAGGAACGAATTGGTGTTGCCCCAAATTTCCAAAGAAGGAAAACATCTTCGCTTTTGCTAGTGGTTCTCTCTTCCTTCCCTCGCTATGTCTCATGTGCTGCTTATTGCAACAGCACTCCTCCTTGTCTTTCTTGCTTGTTTTTGTCTCGTCTTCCTGGCTTTTCTTTCTGTGCCTCTGATCCTCTGGCCTGTTCTCTGGCTTTCGAAAGAGACTGGAAGTTTGTTAATTTAATTATTGCCTTGACCTAACTTCGCTGCACTCCGAAGTTAGGCTAAGAAGCAAAATGTGGTAAAGCAAAGAACACGAGATAGATTTTTAGCAGAAAAGAAGTTGGTTAGCACTGATAGTCCCTGCCACGCTTCTGTTATAAATATTTGTTTTCAATTTTGGCAGGTCTGAACATATCTAGTGAAACTAAAGCAAATAATGGAGCGACAAATGCACGGCAGAGACTTCTGGATTCTTCTTGCTGATGATTTTTTTCCTTGAACTTCAAATCTGTGACTTCTATAACATGGGATTCATTTTGGCTAAAGCACCCCTGTTGGGGTCACAGCTGATTTGCAGTAAATGGCTCTCAGTAGAGAGACGAAGCATGTCTTGTTGAGTCCCTAATGAAAGTGTTACGGAAGAATGGTTTATGAACTTCCCAGAAGAAGCGACTGGGAGATAGGTAACCCATAGCAAGCACGTATGGGTAAGTCCTCATCACGGGAAAAATGGAGAGACTGGGACGAGTAGTCAAGAGAAGTAGCCCTTTAAGAGCCTCAGAGAAACATCTTGCTGGACCCACAATGCGATGAGACCCAGGGCTGCTGGAGAGCAAGCACTTTGGGAGATATGTTTTGTTTTATAAAATAATAATAAGTACATCAGGACATAATTTAATATGAATCTCTTATGGGCCCTTAATGACTGTTGGATGAGAAAAACGTTCACCGGCTGACTAATGGCCCACAGGTCGACCTGTTCTTGGCAGCGTCCTAAATTGGGTGTAAATCTGGTGCCTGGGCTCTCGCACACTCAAGCTCTCTTTACATGTACCTGTCAGCTTGGCTATTGGAGGTCCCATCGCCACTATTTGTTGCACTCTGCCCTGAAGGGCAGCAGGCCCACGCACTGCTCTGAACGAAAACTTAGTTAAGGAGATGGAATCTAAAGGATGTTCACAGTGGCTTCGATTCAGGAAAGAACGCTTCAAAAAGAGCCCAGCGGAGAAATCTGAATTTACAGAAGTTAATTTAGTCACTTTCAAAGAGATTGTTTACAGGGCGTTCCCCTGTTATCAAAGGCATTTCAAGCAGGATTTTAGATAAACGCCTTAATGAAACACAGGAATATTTAAAGTAAGGGGCACTTTGCCTAATACGGTAGAGCACATAAGTGACACTGGTGTGCTCGTGTGGTGTGCTTGGAGCCAGAACAACTGAGAGGTTTATTCTGTTTACATTTAAGCACAGCTTTAAAAATTCATTCTAATTTACATATAGTGTTAGAATTGAGGCCATTTGTGAAAACCATTCTAGCATTGATGGAGAAACACAGAATAAAGCTCACAAATGGGTGGCTAAGACAATGTAAGCATCATTTCGTAAACATTTAAGACTGACTCAGAATATATCAAAAAACTGTTCCCAATTCTAACCATGTAAATTGATCTGTGTTCATGTTTTATACAAAAAAAAAAAACTTTAACATCTGTGGACATTCCCATTTTTATTCTTAGAAAATTAACACATAGCTTAAGTGAGTCATCCGCAGGAACCACAAAGTTTACTTTTGATTCTTAGGGACAGTTGTTTACCTAATCAAATTACTGTTTTGTGATGGACAGGAATTATATAAGCTGCTGTCTGCCTTTCAGAATTTTGAGAAAAGCAGATTTTATTTGTGCTTCTGTGACAGTTTCTGAAAGCTAGTAATAAATATCAAGGTTGCAAACAGTGCTTTAAATTAATCTCTATTCCATGATATTTATTATTGTTGCATTATAGTGTGACTTAGAAATGGCGGAAACCTAAATGATTGATTTTGCTACATTTTTATATCACTGTATCTCATGTAGTCCGTCACAATTTTCTACACTGGTTTCTTTTGAAAATTTGAAAAGATGTATGAAATATATTTTTCTAGAACATGATTTTTTTTTTCAAAAAGCTTCATCTTCCCTATAGACTACCACTAATTCGTATTTTGAAGTGGTAGAAATGGGTATTTTATTTTAGGAGGCCAGGAACTCTCTAAGCCCCACCACATGTAATCCTTTTATCAAGAGTCAGTATCATTGGGTTCTTGGAGCTCTCTGAGCTCCAGGAGGGTCTGTGATTCCCAGACACCAGTAACAGGCTGGGTGTGTAGGTATGAACCGGCAGGTGCCCTGTTTAAGGACTTCGGAGTCAAGTAAAAGCAGCAGAGACAAAGGCAAGTACTAGGAGGAGAAGGCAGAGCCACAATAAAGGCTCTGCCAGAGAACTCCTTGCAAATGCTGTGTGTTCTTGGGAGACACAGTTTTTTGTTTTTTTTCTCTCTCACATAGTTTCTGTAACAGATGGTTTTGAGTCTAGTTATAATTTTTCCCAGAGGCAGATGACCCTCTTAAGGTTCTTTAGCCACATACCCTCTAGGTTGAAGTTTGGGCGGAACACTAATAGTGATTTTGAACAGTAAGGGCTCCACTTGCCTTTTGAGTCTTACCTTGCAGGGGATGGGGAGAACGAGCCTGGGGACGGGGCCGGTACACAGAGTTGTAGATGAATAACCGTCATGGCTCCAAAGGGCTAGCATGGACGTCTGGTGATGCTTTTCAGCTTGGAAAAAAGTATTGTTAAGAAAGTTAACTCATCCATCCACTGTGAGTTGCTGACTTGGAGGACTACTTTTGAGGAGCCACTTTCTGAGGTGGCAAGGAATGCTTTTATAAAGTACTCATTGCTTTATAAAACGGGAAGGATAGGTCCTAAATGACCACTCCAAGGTTACTTCCTGACTTTGTTTGTAGTTCATGTCTCCCTAGTAAACCACCGTGAGGCTGCTGAACCAGACTTGTGGCAACAGTGTTGCAGCTAGAAATGACACAGGTCATTATGAAAGCAGTGTCCAGCACACCTTCAGTTTTACCAAGGGACAGGCAGAGACCTCTAATGTAGAGGTTCCTAAACTCTGAGGGGTTACAAACCCCCTTGCAAATATTTTTAAAGCTATGGCCCCTCCGCTCAGATATACACACATTTTAAATGCACCTGCAGAGGTCGTGATAGTGTGTGCATCAGAGGTTGAGAAGCTGTGCTCTAAAACAGCAAGCCAGCAAGCCACACGGCAGAGAACAGGGCTCCCTTTGCCCTTGAGAAACAACTTCTAGCAGTAAGACTCAGCTGTCTGTTTGCTTAGTTAAGTCATGTTTGCATACTTTTGAGTGAACTGTACCTTTTGAGTAACTGCCTTCTTTTTCCAGAGTGAGACTGAGCAAGGTCAAAGTCTGAGCGGCAGCAGCAGGCCTGGGATGACCAGGCAGCCTATGTAGACAGCTGTTTTCTCCCCGGCCACAAGGCATGATCTTGCAGGTTCAAGTAATCGTCTCTGCTCTCAGCATGTCTGGAATATGGGGAGGATGGGCATAACACTTACAAAATGCTCTGTCCTGCTTTGCAGCTGTGCTGTGAGAAAGCTAGAAACTTCCATCTGCATGGTGGGTCTGGTTTGCATGAATATGTTTCGCTGGTGGAAGCTACCTGTCCTGGAAGCTACATCACCTCCTGTCCACTGCAGCCTTTGTGCCTGTGAGAATTAGGTCAGCTGTAAGAGGCGGATCCTTAGACACCTTTTAAAATGTGTCCATGTTTGGTTTATTTTGCTTATTGTCAGTCCAGGATCCATTAAAGATCTGTGAGGGTAGGAGTTTTATCTGCTGCTGTAGCACAGACTCCTAAAACAGTGACTGGAGTAGACTGGGCATTCTGTAAATATTTGTCTAGTGAATCAACAAACTGTTAGGACAAATCCTAGTTTATTGGCAACTCTGATTTGATTTTAAAGGGCAGATGATCCCCTGCAAGAGAAGGTGATGCGAGGCTCATTTAGCCTCTTGGTAGAGAGAAGAATATTTCCACAAATAGTTTTCACATTAGGTAGTGACCGTCCTTAGCCTTTTATTGTGGAGCAAGTCATGACCACTTTCTAAGTTCAGTACAAGTTCAATGTTGACATACAGTCATTAGGGAAATTGAAGTTTTAAAGGTCCTGGTCTCAGCAATTCCCCAGAATAAGCCTCTTGAAAGGGGATGTTGATTGAAAAGTGCAGTTACCAGTAATTGAGGTTTTATCTGAGGGCACCAAGATGAAATGGCTCCTTCTGAGCAATCATTGACATTTTGGCCCTATTTTCACAAGTAAAGTGAGACCTTTAAAAAGATTGACAAAGATGATTCTGTGTCGTATGTGGAATATAATAGATGTTAATTCGTGATTGGTTTTCCTGCCTGCTTTAAATGAAATGTATTGTGTTTCTGTGTTCTCCTTTAGCTGTAAGAATACTTTGTCACCAAAGCATGCGATTTAATCAGTAATTGTTCCTCGAGTTCCTGAAAATTATGAAAGTTACTTAAGCCTTGAGTGCTTTTTTCCCTGCCCACCAGCGGAGAAAAATCCTTGTAGAATTCTGCAGGGTTACAAATGTTCCTTACAAAAACTGAAGCCATCAGCTCCTCTTTAACAAGTTGGCTTTTTAAAAGCACCATAATTACAATTTAATGGTATTCTGTAAAGTGGTACTTTAGGCATATTTATATTCTTTTTAATGATTAAATTTCTATAAAACTTTGAAAGAAACACGTGTATTCTTTTTGCTGTCACCGTAAGACTGCTGCCAACAGATGAAGAATAACTTTTAAAATTAAAACCATCTTGGTTTCATTTCCACGAAGATCTGAAGATGAGAACAAATCATAGTGTTTGAAATGATTTTTAAAAAGATACAAGAATCTTGAAAGCTCTGCATTTTGGTGGTCATCACTATTGTATTTTATATTTCCGTGAAAGTAAGTCACTTAGCCAAAGCTGCATTCCAACCATGCTGACTTTCATTTAACAGAGGGGCGAAAGGCTAAAGATCAAGGCTACTGTGTCTATAGGTAAAGGTGAAACAATGTTTTAGTTCTGCACTGTTGTATCCACCTAAATAAACCTTCTTTGAGTAATGAAAAATGTCTTAATATTTCTTGCCTTCCCTTTAGGGAGAGTCATTTCATGGAAGATGTAACAAGAGATGAGTCGTGAAACGTCTTGAGGCTCATTTCTGTCTGCTGGATACATAAAATACAGCAGATTCCGTTGCTACTTGCTAAAATCCAGCTGGCAGTAACTAAAAGAAGAAAGTCCTTGATTAAGGGCCCACAGATTCTGGAATTTCTAAAGCAGAAATCACATGCTTTCTGATTGAGAATTGTTTGCCTGGGTTTGGGAAAGAAGAAGTAGGGACCATGTGCTCTAAACATGGGCTGGCCTGTCCAGCTCTCTCGAGAGGAGGACTCCTTTGTACAGTGGTCAATTAGTGCAGTTTACTGTTGTTGGTAATCAGAGCCAT